TCGCCCACCATTATATCCGTCATCAACGAGCTTCATTCGCCCGACCACCATGCGCCCTGAAGGTTGCCCACTATAATTCCCGTCATCAACGAGCTTCATTCGTCTCAGCTCATAAACCCTGGAGATCGCCCACCAACCATTCGCCCCCATCGCCAACCTGCAACCCCGCTCAACCCCGCTCCATCCGTACACCGCCCCCCGCCCAGTCTTCCCTTCGATCTCCATGTCAGAATGTTATTGTCTAGCCTGTAGTGGGGTGCTCTATAGCGGGTACAACCCAGCTAGGGTTTGCTATATGTATCTCCATTCCTGCTAGTGAAACACCACTCTTTTGCCTAAACTTCTCTTGCCTAGCTAGGACTTACCTAGCTAGTGCTCCTCGTTTTGCTCGTCCTCTCAACATGGTATCAGAGCAGAAACGCTCCTGGCCTGTGCGCCCACCTTCTTCCGCTGCTACTCTGTCTGTTGCACGCCCCGTGGCGTGCGACGCCTTCTTCCTGCCGTGCGCCCCGAGGCGCGCGGCGGTTTCATGCCGTGGGGACCCGCGCGCGGCCCCCGCCCTGCTCGTCGCGGCGCCCTGGGGGGACGCGCGGCCCCTGCCCTGCTCGTCGCGGCGCCCTGGGGGGACGCGCGGCCCCCGCCCTGCTCGTCGCGGCGCCCTGGGGGGACGCGAGGCCCCCGCCCTGCTCGTCGCGGCGCCCTGGGGGGACGCGCGGCCCCCGCCCTGCTCGTCGCGGCGCCCTGAGGGGACGCGCGGCCCCCGCCCGTCCGTCGCGGCGCCCTGGGGAGCCGCGCGCGCCCGCCGCCCGTCCGTCGCGGCGCCCTGGGGAGCCGCGCGCGCCACCCCCCCCGTCCCGCCCGTCCGTTTTGGCGCCCTGGGGGTCGCGCGCCGTCCCCCCTCGCCGTCCCCCGCGCTCCTGCCCCGTCCCACCCGTTTTAGGGTTTGGGGGTGAGGGGTGTGGGGGTGGCGGTTGTGGGGGTGTCGGTTGTGTGCGCCGTCCCCTCCTCCTCCTCCTCCTTCGTCTCCCACTGCTGCAGCTGTCGCTGAGGGGGGTGGATGTGTGGGAGCCTGGGGTTTAGGGTCTAAGGGGGGTGCCGTGGGAGTGGAGCTAGGGTTTGAGCAGGGGGTGTGTGTCGAGGGTGTGGGGCAGTTGGAGGAGGTTGTGTGAAGGTAGCTGTCTTGTAGCCTGCAGCGCCTGTAGTCCGTCGCCCTTGCTTCGGTAGCCAGTGAGCCTGTTGCACCAGTCGCCAGTGGGTCCGTTGCTCCTGCCGCTCGTCTGTAGCCGCGGAGCCAGTCACTCCAGTAGTCCGTCGCCCTTGCTTCGGTAGCCACTGAGTCAGCCGCTCCTGTGCCCGTGCCTCTGCAGCTTCAGTCGTTGCCTCCCATCTTCTCTCCCTCCACAGTTCCTCCTCCTCCTCACTTGCCCGTTGTGATTAACTCTAGCTTTGCTTACTATTGTGAACTCCTGCTCTATACCTGCTTGCTCATTGTGCTGATTACACCCCACTTTGGCTATAGGGGTGTGTCAGAATGTTATTGTCTAGCCTGTAGTGGGGTGCTCTATAGCGGGTACAACCCAGCTAGGGTTTGCTATATGTATCTCCATTGCTGCTAGTCAAACACCACTCTTTTGCCTAAACTTCTCTTGCCTAGCTAGGACTTACCTAGCTAGCGCTCCTCGTTTTGCTCGTCCTCTCAACACTCCAAAGGTAAGCATAAAATTGTTATGCCGACTTCGACGTTTATTTTAATGTCATTGTTTCAGAATTTATTCGTGTAACTTCTGATTACTGACTCTTCTGTGTTCGTTCTTCGCAGGTACAAGGACAAGTCCAGTGACGATTCTGCATACGACCTGCTGCTCCGCAGCCGAACTGTTGCTCAAGCCGAACTGTTGCTCAAGCCGAACTGTTGCTCAAGCCGAACTGTTGCTCAAGCCGAACTGTTGCCCAAGCCGAACTGCTGCTCAAGCCGAACTTCTGCTCAAGCCGAACTTCTGCTCAAGCCGAACTTCTGCTCAAGCCGAACTTCTGCTCAAGCCGAACTTCTGCTCAAGCCGAACTTCTGCTCTAGCCGTACTTCTGCTCAAGCCGAACTTCTGCTCTGCATTTGCAAGCCGTGCGTGACGCTCTGACACGTTGGGAGTGCTGCTGTTGCCTGTCTTCACGCTGACGTGCTGGTCTGACGTTTCTTTTGGTCAACACCTAGAGATCGCCCACCACCGCCTCCATCCATCCGCACGCTTCCCCCCGCCCAGCCTGCCCTTCCGATTTCCAGAGGTAAGCACGAGATTTTTATGTCCACCTAATTTAACTTGAAACGCACTAGATCTATTTGGATGTACTTGTTCTTTGAAATTCTCCACGTATACTTTTGATTTCTGACTCTTGTGTTTGTATATTCGCATGTACAAAAGACTTGCTGCTCGTCCAATGAAGAATCTGCATCCAAACTTGCTGCTCTCCATTTTAAGTGTTGGACGTTCTGCTTTGAAGCGGTCTAGCGCGGTGGCCGGTGGTGTGACGCGGTGGGACGCGGTCTGACGGGATGGACGTGGTGCTGCCGCGCTTCATCACGCTGCCGCGTTTGATCGGGAAGTGTTGCTTCCCCCTTCCTTTGGTTTTTTCCTCGCTTTCGTTTCAATTTCCTCGCTATCATCATCATCATCCACAACCCGACTATTCGTGAATCACGTTTCCACCGTCCCTCTGGTCATGCGGTTGCAGCTGGAAGAAGATCCTCCTCGGTTGGGTAGTCGGGTGGCTAGATTAGATCCTCCCTCTGAAGGCTGCAGCCCGTGACCATGGACGTCCGCCCTCGTTTTCGTTTGTCGTTTTCATATTCATCGCTTTTCATTTTTCGCATTTGTTTTATGCTTGTTCGTTTTTTTCCTTTTTTTTTCTTCTTGTCTTGCTGTTTACTAACTTCGAGCCCTCTTCTGTGTTTCCTACCCCCCGTTTTCAACAATAAGGATCACGTTGTGTGTGAAGGCGGATCTGCAAATGGAGCTGATTAACCAAGGAGCGGATTATTCAAGGCCGGAGCAACCAAGGAGCCAAGCTACCAACCCAAGCAAGCAGCTCAACGTAGTGGTAAGTTTACTGTTTAACCATGTTAACGCTTTCTTTTTTAATTGCCTGCAAATGGTGTCCTTCTTTGAGATTTTGATTCTGAAGATTAGATACTGACTTAATTTGTTTTTTTTTCTTAAACAGGACAATGAAGATGCAAATGGCGAAGAAGGAGCAGCCTACGAAGCAATTGGAGCTAAGCAACTAAGAAGCGATGCTATTGAGGAAGCAGCTGCACTTGCTTTAGCCATTTTAACTGTTTTATGCTTAATCAGGTTGCAAAATGGTGTCTTTCCTTTGAAATTCTGATTCAGAAGAATATGTACTAATTCTTGTTTGTGTTTTTCTTAAAACAGGACCAAGGAGCCTACGAGCAGCCAACCAAGGAGCCTACGAGCAGCCAACCAAGGAGCCTACGAAGCGGCGGAAGCGGTTGCTTGGCGGCGGGAGCGGTTGTGTAAGCGGTTGCTGTCCTGCGGAAGCGAAGGTGGGCTGCGGATGCGGTTGCTGCGCTGCGGATGCGGTTGCTGGGCTGCGGAAGCGGAAGCTGGGCGGCGAAGGCGGTTGCTGGCCTGTGGAAGCGAGGCCATGGAAGCTGTCAAGTAAGTTAACAGCCATTGCATTGTTCATCCTTGGGTTTTGCCGTTTTCTGCAAAATTGTGTCTTTCCTTTGAGATTTTGATTCAGAAGTTTTTGTACTAATTTTTGTTTGTGCTTTTTCTTAAAACAGGACCAAGGAGCCTACGAGCAGCCAACCAAGGAGCCTACGAGCAGCCAACCAAGGAGCCTACGAAGTGGCGGAAGCGGTGGCTTGGCGGCGGAAGCGGCTGTGTAAGCGGTTGCTGGCCTGCGGAAGCGAAGGTGGGCCGCGGATGCGGTTGCTGCGCTGCGGATGCGGTTGCTGGGCTGCGGAAGCGGAAGCTGGGCGGCGGAGGCGGTTGTTGGGCTGCGGAAGCAGAGGCTGGGCAGCAGAAGCGGAGGCTGGGCGGCGGAAGCGGTTCCTGGGCTGCGGAAGCGGCAACTAAGGAAGCAGCGGAATGCACCGTTGAGGCAACTGGTAAGCTGTTCACCGTATTACTCCTTCCATTGTTTACCATTGCAATTGGTGTCTGTCAGTTTTTGTTAAGATTCGAATTCTGAGAAACTGAGAATCTGGTAACTTAAATACTAATATGTGTCTGTCGTTCTCTCTTAACAGGACCAACCAACTAAGACGGAAGTGGCGAAGGACAAGTCTACGACTCGGCGAGCACCTTTCAGAGCGGCGGCGCAGGCTTCAAAGGAGCAAACTTGAAGCAGCCTTGAAGCAGAGAACGAAGACTACAGTTGCTGGGCTGCGGAAGCGGAGGCTGGACTGCGGAAGCGGTTCCTCGGCTGCGGAAGCGGCGAAGCAACCAAGGAAGCAACAGAATGCACTGTTGAAGCATCTGGTAAGCTGTTCACCGTCTCACTCCTTCCACTGTTTACCGTTGCAATTGGTGTCTGCTAGTTTTCCTTAACATAGGCATTCTGAGATTCTGGTAACATACATACTAACATGTGTCCATCGTTTTCTCTTAACAGGACCAGCCAACCACGACAGAAATGGCGAAGGAGAAGTCTACGAATCGGCCGAGCATCTTACAGAGCGGCGGAGCAATCTACAAAGCGGTCGAGCAACTTACCGAGCGGCGGAGCAATCTACAAAGCGGCCGAGCAACTTACCGAGCGCGGAGCAATCTACAAAGCGGCCGAGCAACTTACCGAGCGGCGGAGCAATCTACAAAGCGGCCGAGCAACTTACAGAGCGGCGGCCTGGTGGAGAGGAGAGGAGATGAACCCCTGAACCCTGAAAGGTTGATTCAGCCTGGTGCAGACAAGGGGAGAGGCGGCTTGGTGATGTACCCCTGAACCCTGTGAAAGCGGAGTATGGGCTGCGGAGGCGCAGTATGGGCTGCGGAGGCGCAGTATGGGCTGCGGAGGCGCAGTATGGGCTGCGGAGGCAGAGTATGGGCCGCGGAAGCGGAATACTTGCTGCGGAAGCTGAGCGTGGGCTGCGAAAGCGGTGTTGGCAGCCTACAGGGAAGCAGCGTAGCAGCCTACAGGGAAGCAGCGAAGCAGCCAACAGGGAAGCAGCGAAGCAGCCTACAGGAAAGCAGCGAAGCAGCCTACAGGAAAGCAGCGAAGCAGCCTACAGGGAAGCAGCGAAGCAGCCTACAGGGAAGCAGCGAAGCAGCCTACAGGGAAGCAGCGAAGCAGCCTACAGGGAAGCAGCGAAGCAGCCTACAGGGAAGCAGCGAAGCAGCCTACAGGGAAGCAGCGAAGCAGCCTACAGGGAAGCAGCGAAGCAGCCTACAGGGAAGCAGCGAAGCAGCCTACAGGGAAGCAGCGAAGCAGCCTACAGGGAAGCAGCGAAGCAGTCTACAGGGAAGCAGCGAAGCAGCCTACAGGGAAGCAGCGAAGCAGCCTACAGGGAAGCAGCGAAGCAGCCTACAGGGAAGCAGCGAAGCAGCCTACAGGGAAGCAGCGAAGCAGCCTACAGGGAAGCAGCGAAGCAGCCTACAGGGAAGCAGCGAAGCAGCCTACAGGGAAGCAGCGAAGCAGCCTACAGGGAAGCAGCGAAGCAGTCTACAGGGAAGCAGCGAAGCAGCCTAAAGGGAAGCAGCGAAGCAGCCTACAGGGAAGCAGCGTAGGAGGAGGCTGCAAGGAGGCTTGGCTACAAGGAGGCTGGGCTGCAAGGAGTAGACGGAGGAGGAGGCTGCGGAAGCGGTTGCTGCGGAAGCGGAGGCTGGGCGGGAGGGATGTGGCGAAGCAGCGGAGGGTTGTGGTGAAGGGTTGCGCGGATGGTGGCTAGATGGGAACTCAAGGGTGGCCTAAGAGGTGGCTGAGCTAGCGCAGGCTCAGTCGGTCCTAAGGCGAGTGGCGCGGTGTGGGTGTGATCTCAGCGGTGATGTGATGGAGTAAGGGCCGGTGCTTGGTTCTGGCAGTGCAAAGTCGCCCGGGAGGCTTTGCACTGCCTGGGCCCAGAATCAAGCAACCCGGGTACCTGACGCTCCAGGTAGCATCACTGTTGCGGTTGCACTTGCACCACAAGTCAGCACCGCACCGGGGTGGGTGCGGGGGGCTTGAGTCACTCTAAAGAGAAGGGAGACCGCACTGGCGTGGGTGCGGAGATCTTCTCTTACCTCTGAATGATGAGTCCACACTGGCGTGGGTGTGGAAATACTCATTCTAGGTCACCTGAGGGTTTCCGTTTAGGAGGCTCGCGGTTTCACTTAGAGCCTCGGGGCTTTCTCACACTGGCGTGGGTGTGGGGGGTTCGTCACTTGATGCACAGGGAGAGAGGGATGGAGCAGTGGAGGGGAGCAGCCGCCGTTTGAAGCAGTCAAGGGGAGATGCCGCTTCAAGTAGTTAGGGGGAGAAGCCGCCTGCAGACAAGGGGAGAAGAACCCCTAAACCCTGAAGCGAGTAGCCGCCTCCTGGTGCAGAGAAGGGAGAAGCCGCCTCCTGGTGCAGACAAGGGGAGATGAACCCCGAAACCGTTAAGGGGAGGAGGATTTGCAAGGGGAGAAGAACCCCTAAACCGTTACGGGGAGGAGGATTTGCAAGGGGAGAAGAACCCGTAAACCGTAAAGGGGAGAGGCAGCCTGGTGCAGAGGAGAAGGTGTGAAGCAGCTTGGTGCAGAGAAAGGGGTGCAGCCGCCTGGTCTAGAGATGGGGAGAGGAATCTTCAAACCTCGAAGGGGAGAAGCAGCAGCCTGTTGCAGAGAAAGGGGTGCAGCCTCCTGATGCAGTCAAGGGGAGAAGGAGAGAAGCAGCCGCCTTCTGGTGCAGACAAGGGGAGAAGGAGAGAAGCAGCCGCCTCCTGGTGCAGACAAGGGGAGAAGGAGAGAAGCAGCTGCCTCCTGGTGCAGACAAGGGGAGAAGGAGAGAAGCAGCCGCCTTCTGGTGCAGACAAGGGGAGAAGCAGAGAAGCAGCCGCCTCCTGGTGCAGACAAGGGGAGAAGGAGAGAAGCAGCCGCCTTCTGGTGCGGACAAGGGGAGAAGGAGAGAAGCAGCCGCCTTCTGGTGCGGACAAGGGGAGAAGGAGAGAAGCAGCCGCCTCCTGGTGCAGACAAGGGGAGAAGCAGAGAAGCAGCCGCCTCCTGGTGCAGACAAGGGGAGAAGGAGAGAAGCAGCCGCCTTCTGGTGCGGACAAGGGGAGAAGGAGAGAAGCAGCCGCCTTCTGGTGCAGACAAGGGGAGAAGGAGAGAAGCAGCCGCCTTCTGGTGCAGACATGGGGAGAAGGAGAGAAGCAGCCGCCTTCTGGTGCAGACAAGGGGAGAAGCAGAGAAGCAGCCGCCTTCTGGTGCAGACAAGGGGAGAAGCAGAGAAGCAGCCGCCTCCTGGTGCAGACAAGGGGAGAAGGAGAGAAGCAGCCGCCTCCTGGTGCGGACAAGGGGAGTAGGAGAGAAGCAGCCGCCTTCTGGTGCAGACAAGGGGAGAAGGAGAGAAGCAGCCACCTTCTGGTGCAGACAAGGGGAGAAGGAGAGAAGTAGCCGCCTTCTGGTGCAGACAAGGGGAGAAGGAGAGAAGCAGCCGCCTTCTGGTGCGGACAAGGGGAGTAGGAGAGAAGTAGCCGCCTTCTGGTGCAGACAAGGGGAGAAGGAGAGAAGCAGCCACCTTCTGGTGCAGACAAGGGGAGAACGAGAGAAGCAGCCGCCTTCTGGTGCGGACAAGGGGAGAAGGAGAGAAGCAGCCGCCTCCTGGTGCAGACAAGGGGAGAAGGAGAGAAGCAGCCGCCTTCTGGTGCAAACAAGGGGAGAAGGAGAGAAGCAGCCGCCTTCTGGTGCGGACAAGGGGAGTAGGAGAGAAGCAGCCGCCTTCTGGTGCGGACAAGGGGTGAAGGAGAGAAGCAGCCGCCTTCTGGTGCAGACAAGGGGAGAAGGAGAGAAGCACCCGCCTTCTGGTGCGGACAAGGGGAGTAGGAGAGAAGCAGCCGCCTTCTGGTGCAGACAAGGGGAGAAGGAGAGAAGCAGCCGCCTTCTGGTGCAGACAAGGGGAGAAGGAGAGAAGCAGCCGCCTCCTGGTGCAGACAAGGGGAGAAGGAGAGAAGCAGCCGCCTTCTGGTGCAGACAAGGTGAGAAGGAGAGAAGCAGCCGCCTTCTGGTGCAGACAAGAAGAGTAGGAGAGAAGCCGCCACCTTCTGGTGCGGACAAGGGGAGTAGGAGAGAAGCAGCCGCCTTCTGGTGCAGACAAGGGGAGAAGGAGAGAAGCAGCCGCTTCCTGGTGCAGACAAGGGGAGAAGGAGAGAAGCAGCCGCCTTCTGGTGCAGACAAGAAGAGTAGGAGAGAAGCCGCCGCCTTCTGGTGCGGACAAGGGGAGTAGGAGAGAAGCAGCCGCCTTCTGGTGCAGACAAGGGGAGAAGGAGAGAAGCAGCCGCCTCCTGGTGCAGTCAAGGGGAGAGGAACCCCTTAACCCTGAAGGGAAATAGCAGTCGTCTGGTGCAGAGAAGGGGAGGAAAACCACTAAGCCCTGAAATGGGAGGAACAGCTTGGTGCAGAGAAAGGGGTGCAGTTGCCTGGTGCAGTAAAAAGGAGAATGGGAGAAGCAGCCGCCTGCTCTAGAGAAGGGGAGAGGAACCCCTAAACCTTGAAGCGGAGAAGCAGCTGCCTGGTGCAGTTAAGGGGAGCAGCAGAAGCAGCCGCTGGTGCAGAGGAGGGGAGAAGCAGTGGGGTGTAGGGAAGCGCCCTTCAGGAGGTTTTTTAGCCAAGTGATACAGCAGTACCCTAATTGTCAGGGTCTTAGCCCGTAGGCATCATACCCAACGCGATGCTGATGGGACGGATTTTTTATCCTCCATGGCTTGTGCACAAGCCTTCGAGTAAAAAAAAAAAAAAAACGAGGGGAAGCAGCAGTGAAGGGAAAGCATCAGTGAAGGGGGAGCAGCAGTGAAGGGGAAGCAGCAGTGAAGGGGGAGCAGCAGTGAACTAAGGGGAAGCAGCGAACTAATGGGAATTGAGAAGAAACTAGTGAAGCAGCAAAGTAGTTAAGCAGTGATGCTGGTATTGGAGTAATGACTGGGGAGAATTGACGGGAATCGATAAGTAACGGAGGGGGAGAGGTTGGTTGGATGGTGAAGCAGTGAAGCAGTCAACCAGTGATGCAATGAAGCAGTCAACCAGTGATGCAGTGATGCAGTCAACCAGTGATGCAGTGAAGCAGTCAGCCAGTGAGGCAGTGAAGAAGTCAAGCAGTGATGCTGGTATTGGAGTAATGACTGGGGAGAATTGACGGGAATCGATGAGTAACGGAGGGGGAGAGGTTGGTTGGATGGTGAAGCAGTGAAGCAGTCAACCAGTGATGCAATGAAGCAGTCAACCAGTGATGCAGTGATGCAGTCAACCAGTGATGCAGTGAAGCAGTCAACCAGTGATGCAGTGAAGAAGTCAACCAGTGATGCAGTGATGCAGTCAACCAGTGATGCAGTGAAGCAGTCAACCAGTGATGCAGTGAAGCAGTCAACCAGTGATGCAGTGAAGCAGTCAACCAGTGATGCAGTGAAGCAGTCAACCAGTGATGCAGTGAAGCTGTCAACCAGTGATGCAGTCAACCAGTGTTGCAGTGAAGCAATACAGGCCAGGATTGTGGTAGTATCTGGAGAAGCAGAGAAGTAGCATAGTAGAGATGTGGCGAGCTGATACATACCCAACCCAGTACACCCATGTTACATATTTTGCTTGTTAGTGGTTGGGTGATAACTCTACTGAATGTTCTTTCTGTCTCATAGAAGGATCAATATCAAATTGCAGCTTTCTAGCACCACTCCTGATCCGAAATCATAATCAATTCTTTTCAAGTTTCGAACGTGCTATTAACAGTTTACTAGGAAAGAACAAGGTTATAACAGTATGAGTGCAGCAGTGTCACAAGTACAAATCCAGTTGGGTTGCTGCCTGGGATGGGAGGTGCTGAGTGGGGAGGACACCTCTCTTTGAAAATAGTTTCAAGGCACCATACAGCAGTAACAATCACAGATAAGGTTGTATGGCATCCGCGGCACTGGCACCCTCATAGGACACTCAAGGTTGTATCCGCTTGTACCTACTGCACGTGTCATCCAAGGTAGCACGTGCACTGCATCTTCCCTAACTGCAGGGAGTGGACTTTGAGTTCACACAGTACTGACGCCACTGCTCTGACGCCCACTTTGTAACTCAAACAAGCACGGAGCTTCGTTTCTCAATATATTGTACGCCTTGAGATGAAACACACGGTGTGAGACAGACGTTGTCTCCTAAGGTGCTTCGAGGTGGCCCGTGTTGCTCGCGGGTGCCCATTGCAGTAGTCCCAGGCGCGTCACACCTTGGATGCTGCACCCACTTGGCCAGCTGCTCCCTGCCCTGCACGTCCCACCCACCACACGCACCCCCCATGCACCCGCCCACCCACCCACCCGCCACCTACCCACCCAACCAACCGCCCACGCACCCGGCCAAGCACTCGCCCACGCATCCACGCACACCATACCCCCACTCACCCACCCACACCGGCACCCACACACACACGCACGCTCACACACACTCGCATGCATGAGTAGAGGCACAACAACACAGACAGAGGCAGGTGAGTGGCCGCACATGCAATGAGCCAGAGAGGGAGTGAGCAACAAGCCCAGCAGTGGTGACAAGCACAGCAGTGGTGACAAGCACAGCAGTGGTGACAAGCCCAGCAGTGGTGACAAGCCCAGCAGTGGCGACAAGCCCAGCAGTGGTGACAAGCACAGCAGTGGTGACAAGCACAGCAGTGGTGACAAGCACAGCAGTGCCCTGGTGCCCCATGCCTTGGTGCCCCGTGCCCTGGTGACCTGTGCCCTGACGCACACTGACTGTGAGCACTGACCTGGTGACCTGGTGCCCCATGCCTTGGTGCCCCGTGCCCTGGTGCCCCATGCCTTGGTGCCCCGTGCCCTGGTGCCCCATGCCTTGGTGCCCCGTGCCCTGGTGCCCCATGCCTTGGTGCCCCGTGCCCTGGTGCCCCATGCCTTGGTGCCCCGTGCCCTGGTGCCCCATGCCTTGGTGCCCCGTGCCCTGGTGCCCCATGCCTTGGTGCCCCGTGCCCTGGTGCCCCATGCCTTGGTGCCCCGTGCCCTGGTGCCCCATGCCTTGGTGCCCCGTGCCCTGGTGCCCCATGCCTTGGTGCCCCGTGCCCTGGTGCCCCATGCCTTGGTGCCCCGTGCCCTGGTGCCCCATGCCTTGGTGCCCCGTGCCCTGGTGGCCCCATGCCTTGGTGCCCCGTGCCCTGGTGACCTGTGCCCTGACGCACACTGGCAGAGGATAAACAAATGGCAAGCACTGCAAGGGCCGCATAGGGGCGCGCAGGAGGAGCAGGGGGGAGAGGGGAGGGGGGAGGGGGGAGGGGGGCTAACAGCGGATGTGACAAGCGGACCAGGCGGAGCAGGGGGGACAAGGGGGAACAAGGGGGACAGGTAGAACAAGGGAGAAAGGGAGAGAGTAGGGAAAGGGTGGACAGGGAAGAGAGGCGGGAGAGGGGCGAGGGAGGACGCGGGGACAGGAGGGGCGCACCTGTCCTTGGAGACGGCATAGGGTGGGCCGCCCTCGTGTCCATCGATCTGCAGGCCAGGCGCACGCAGCGAGGGGCAGACACACAGACAGCCACGCGCCGTGAGCAGACAGCGGTGATTAGTGTTTGCCCGAGGGAGCATGCGAGGGTGCATTCATGTGTGCAGTAACACGAGGACACACATGAACATTGAGTGACAGGCGTGCAGGGATATGCATGGTGCGAGGGTGCAATGGTACGCACGGGGAACATGAGAGTGATGCGAGCAGCTCTGCTATCTTGCCCCTCAGCGATGGCGCCAGCGCACAGAAGGACCTGCACGCGGTGAGACCCGTGGAGGGACATGGAGGGACGGTGCATGAGGGATGGTGCGTGGGGGACATGGAGGGATGGTGCGCGGGGGCATGAGGGTGTGAGGGGCATGGCAGGGGCGATGGGGCATGTGGGCACTGACAGAGACTGGTTGAGGGGGAAGGGGGATGACGGGTACATGGTCTTGGGTGACAATAGGAGAGAATGCGACACACCAGATGCCGGAGCGATTGAGATGCGAGGCACACGACTGGGGAAAGGAGAGCAGCAGAGGAGGGATAGCTAGTATGGCAGCAGGTGCTTGGTATGTGAGGGAGTGAGAGGGAGAGCGGTGGGGGGAGAGAGGCTTGGGGGCGGGCTGGGCTCACGGGCAGTCGAAGATGGCGCGGCGTGGAAGGGCTGTGGTGGGCTGTGGTGGGCTGTGGTGGGCGGTAGTGAAAACAGTTGCCACACTAAAACGCCATGGCCGCCCTGTTTGTCACCCCCTCCAATCGCTGGGGTGAGCAGCAAACGGGAGGAGGATGGGCGGGAGAAGGAGAGGGTTGAGAGGTTGAGAGGGTAGAGCGGGCTAAAAGGGTAGACATTGGGCAACAGGGGAGGAGTGGAAAAGAGTGGGAGGGCAGGGGTGTGAGCAGAGGGATGGGTGAAGAAGGGAAGGGCGAATGGGTGTAGTGCTGGCTGCACAGGCACTGTCCACCCGCTTGTGCGAGTTGTGCTCATCAAGCAACGCGAGGGGCGGGCGTTGGTGCCGCACCCATGCCACGCACGCCCACCTTCTCTTCTCAGCATGCACCACAGCGGCAGGCGAGATGTCAAGGGCCGTCGCCTCCCTGCCATCCGATGCCAACACCTCCACGTCATAGCCCTGCCATGCCATGCACTCCATGCCATGCCATGCCATGCCATGCCATGCCATGCCATGCCATACCATGGACCCACATGATAGCATGCAGTGATGTGCCGAGGGCATGGGAGGTCTTAGACAACCAAGCAGCAATCATCTCACATGCCTTGGACTCACTACCCCCCTCTCTTGCTACAGCCCCGTTCACATCTTCCATGAAACGCCCACTGTGCATTCCTCTCCTGCTACAGCCCGGCTCACATGTTCCGTGAATCAACAACTGTGCAATCCCGATCTACAGCCGGGCGCAAGGCACTCACGGTGCTACAGCCGGGGACGAGCACGCGGCGGATGGAGGGCGGCAGGTGCAGCGGCGACCCCTCTTGTGCCGCCACGAGCGCCGCTACAGCCGGCGTCACGCCGCCCAGGTCCCACGGCGTCGTGCTCGCTTGCCACGCCTTGTCCCACCCGCCTGCCACGATGGTGCGGGAGAAGGGATGAAAATCAGGGTTAGGGAATCCCCGAGGGATGCGGAGGGATAGAGAGCGGCGAGTGGAGGCGATTGGGCGTGGTGGGCGGAGTGGAGTGAGAGGGGAGCATGGATGGGGCAATCAACCACGCCAGCGCCCGGGTACCATAAGCCATTTCCACAGAAATATTTCGGCGCGCCTTGGGGTGCGGATGATGTGGTGCGATGCGAATGACGGAGGCCAAACCGCGCAGACGCGCTGGCGCGGACGCAGACAGGGCGGACGGAAATTATTGCGCCTGTGCGACGGCGTGCGTCGCAGCAGTCATCGCACAAACCCAGTCCCCCTGCGTTCGCCCCGAGGGTTGGAGAGAGGCTCACCGACGGGGTCGTGGGTCAGCAGCTGGCGCAGCTCCATCATCCCCGGAATGCTCTTCGGCGCGTCGAACGCCACCACCTCTGACTGCGCAGCGCCTGGCGCGGCGTCCGCTGCCCCTCCGCCGGAGTGGACGCGTGCTGCGACATGCCGCGTGCGAGGGTGCTCGCAGACGAATCGAATTCCGGAAATTGCGCAGAGGAACGTGCGAAAGACGCGAAACGATCGATTACCGAGCCGTTGCGGAAACGGGTTTTGTTAGATGACGAATGCCCGCGACGAAAGGAGCGGACAGAAAGCTGGACAGCTGGAAGTTGTTTGCGGAACGACAGGTACTAGAGGCACACGGGAGCCCAGTGAAGGCGACGCGGCGATAGAAGGACGAGGCCGATGGAGAGCCGGCATTGCGAGGAAGTGATGGACAACATCAAGATGCACACGAACTCCAGCCTTGCGCGAAGGCTGAGAAACAGCGTAACTGTCGCCAGGCCTAGAAACGTCGCGAAAGGTGGGCCCGCTAGTATTCATTCTCACACTCGCGTATAGGGGAGGGGGTGGGGAACAAGGACGAACTCTTGCTTAGGAAATGTGAGGGGATTTATGTGTACAGTGTGTGGGAAATGCTATAGTAGTCGGGTCATCCAGTACAGAATCCAAAGCTCCTCAGGGAGGCCAAACGCGCCCTCTAGATTCAGGACTTCATAGCATGTATGGCAGGGTTCAGGGGACAAGCAGGGGGACACCGCGCAATTTCAGTGCTACTATTCTCCTAACGTTGAGGATCTCCCATGAAGCACGTGGCTTTTGCTTCATTTCCCATCCCGTTTCACCCACACCATCCCGTGCCTTCCAACAAATTCCTTCCCCATTACAGGGTCACACGTACTACTAGATTCTTGTCAAGTCTTCTTTCACTTGCGAGTCCGCTTGCCTCGCATTTCTTTCTCGTCTCCTGTTTTGTGCCTAGGTCGCCGTGTCGGGCTGGCACTCTTTCCTTCGGACGACAGTTGAAACCTTAACAACAGCGGCAGGCGCTAGGATCGCTTCTTGACCTTTTCCAAGAATCCTTTCTCACCGAAGCGGGAAATAATCGCCACCTGTCGCCATGGCTGCCATCGCTCCGCATTTCCTGTCGCTCAAGTCTAGTGCAGGATCGCTTCGTCGGTCTGCGAAATCCCTCCAGCCAGCACAACAACTTTCGCAGGCTTCGCAACAACCGGCGCGACGTCGCCTGGCACTCGCACGAGTCGCAGCGCCGGAACCCGAACCACCCAGGTCCCGAACCGTCGCGCAAACCTCCACTCCATCAACCAGCACCGCCGCAGCGCCCTTGTCTCCTTCCCCGTCTTCCGCGCTTCGCGAGCCTCCCGTTGAGAAGCGGCGGTTCGAGCACGTGATCGAGGCGCAGCAGTTCAATCGCGACTTGCTGTCGGAGATCTTCGAGGTCGCAGACGAGATGCAGCAGATCCTGGAGGGACGTGGCGGCGCGGGGTGCTCGAACATGCTGCGCGGGTACCTCATGGCGACGCTGTTCTACGAGCCGTCCACGCGCACGCGGCTGTCGTTCGAATCCGCCATGAAGCGGCTCGGCGGCGAGGTGCTGACCACGGAGAACGCGCGCGAATTCTCGTCCGCTGCAAAGGGCGAGAGCCTTGCGGGTGAGTTCGGGAGGAAGTGAGGGGAAAACGGGGGAAAAGGAGGCAGGGAAGGGGGGAAAGGTAGAAGAAATTTAGTTGAAAAGGAAATGAAGAGATAGTACAGCACGTGGAGAGTGGATTCGGAGTATTTTGATCCCGAATCAACAAGAATGACCGATTTACAGAGTTTAATCTTTACAAATTTCAGCAGTTAACTCTAGAGCATGAATTCAAAGAATTGGCCACGTTGGTAAAGTCCTTTGTGTCCTTGCTGCCTTCCTTTCATCTCCTCCTCCCTGTGTTCCCATTCTCGCTGAACCTCTCCTCACCACTACCAACTCCCTCTCCTCTCCCCCTCCCTCCCCCCGTCCCATCCCCCGCACCTCCCCTTCGTCCTCTCCCTTCTCCCCCCCCTCCTCTCACCGACTGCAGACTCCATCCGCACGGTGGAGGCGCACGCGGACGTGATCGTGCTGCGGCACTACGAGGAGTCTAGTGTTGAGGCCTCAAAGCTAGGCCCCACCCCCTTCTCCCCCTCCCTCTTACACACCCCCCTTCTCCTTTGCAGACTCCATCCGCACAGTGGAGGCGTACGCGGACGTGATCGTGCTGCGGCACTACGAGGAGGGCGCGGCGAAGCTGGCGTCGCAAGTGGCGTCCGTGCCCATCGTCAACGCGGGGGACGGGCCCGGCCAGCACCCCACGCAGGTGAGAGGTTTCGGGCTTGCTCGTGAGGGGGTTAGGGCTTGCACCTGTGGGGTTTCGGGCTTGCCGGTGAGGGGTTTAGGGCTTCACCTTGAGGTCAGGGGTTTAGGGCAGCACTGTACGCGGGTGAGGGGACTAGGGCAGCACGGCTGAATGCAGGTGAGGGAGGTAGGAGGTTGTGGTAGCATAGGTGGAAATCGTGGGGTGAAGTACCAGATAAGCAGCCCAGGAGGTGGAGCACAACATGAGCTCTCCTTTGCATCCACAGGAGGCATAACAGGTCTCATCTCACGCCTCTTTCACTATCTCACTCAACACCCTATCCCCTTCCCCCGCTCCACCCCTCCCCTTCCCCGGCAGGCCCTGCTGGACATGTTCACGATTCAGTGGTAAATGGGGCAGCATGAACCATTTTTCAGTCACAGGATGCATGGTATACTCACTTCACCCTTCTTTCCCTATCGCACTGCCCTCCCCACACTGTCCCCACACCTACCCCTCCCCCATCAGTCGCTGCTGGACATGTACACGATTCAGCGCGAGGTGGGGCGGCTGGACAACATCAGGGTGGGGCTGGTGGGCGACTTGGCCAACGGCAGGACGGCGCGCTCCCTGGCCTACCTGCTCGCCAAGTTCCGCAACAACAAGATCATCTTCGTCGCACCGCCCGTCGTCCGCATGAAGGTGCCTTGGCCCATCTCTGCCTCCTTGCTTGCTGCATACAGAAACTCTTTTCTCATACCACTGTTTCCTGGTCCATTTTCTGTGTCGCTTGATCATGGCATTTACCCTTCATGTGCCCTTTACGCACCCTCCACGCCTGCACTCCTGCTTGTAGTGATCCCCTGTTGTCCCCCCACCCCACTGCCGCACCAAGCAGGACGACATCAAGGAGTATCTGACGGCGCGCGGCGTGGAGTGGGAGGAGTCGGCAGACCTGATGGACGTGGCGGCGCAGTGCGACGTGGTGTACCAGACACGCATTCAGAAGGAGCGTTTCGGCGGGCGCATGGACGAGTACGAGGCGGCGCGCGGCAAGTACATTGTGGACCGCCGCGTGATGAACGCGCTGGGGAAGGATGCCATCGTCATGCATCCGCTGCCCCGACTCGATGAGGTGAGCGGGTGAAGGAATTGGTTCCGTGTGTGAGTGTGTGCGTGCGCGCGCGCGTGCAGGTGCGTGTGTGTGTGCTTATGTGCGGGTGCATGCGTGCGTGTGCACGTGCACTTTTTTGGTAATCACGATCACAATGCAATTGGTGTGTGAAGAGCCTTCACCATATCTGGACGATTTTACCCCTGGATGACTTGCAGATTACGACTGATGTGGATTCGGATCCAAGAGCAGCTTATTTCCGCCAAGCTAAGAATGGCGTGTACATTCGGATGGCGTTGTTGAAGCTCCTATTGATTGGCCGTTAGTGGGAAAATAATGATTTTCTTGGTCTCATAGGGTGTAACAAAGATAGTGCAATGCTCAATGAGGGATGAGGGTGGTGATATTGTGAGTTTCACTTTAGAGTGGATTGTTGTACTTCCAATACACTTATAGATACTGCATTGTGTACAGAGCATTCCTTTCAGGTTTGAGCTGTCTTTGCTTGCCAGAAAGTCCAACAAACAAGCCGAGTCTGAACACAGAGAGATTGCCACAGTGCCAAATCGATTGGATCTTACAAGTGCACAGAATTCAACTTTTTTGGATTCTGAGGCAGGTTAGGGGCCATGTTCAAAGCTACAGAGTTTCCAAAACGCGATGTGTACCTTTCAGGGTTTGATGATTTTCGGACGGTCTTGTGAAAACAGGGTCAGATCTGTACACAAGACTGTTAACCCTGTTAGAGGCGGGGTGCAACTTCTTAGGAACAGTTGCAGGACAAATATGGAGTGTGCGTAACGGGACCCTTATTGGACGAAAAAAATGGAATCTCGCACAAGACAAACCTCTCGCCACTGAACTGCCTGGGACTACCAAGTTTCAAGCTATAATACCCTTAAGTTGAAGCTGATAGTTGGGCCACGGCTTTAAGCAATCTCGCCAGGGATGGTAGTCGGCATTCAGTCTGTCTGTTAACCCGGTTCTGGAACTTCGCGAAGGGTGGGGAATTAGCCCATTGATGCTTCTTTGTGCTTCGCATTGACACTGTTCACACGCACGAGAGATCCGATCATTCCACGTCTGAGACGCTCTCATCGCTGTTCATAGATTGAGGGGGAAGACAAGCCTACGAGCTGTTGCTTTCGTGGCTTTTTGTAGCTGCTAGGGATGAACGAATTGCCTAATTGATGGCGACAAGTGGGGTTGGTGGTGGGCGGGGTTTGAGGCAGTAGCGTGCCCCCTTTCAAGACGGCGGGCCAAGCCTGACTATTTCAGGGTTGCTTTTGGTTCAGCCCTGGCATACTTTCACGCAATATGTTTTCGATGGAGCAACCATGATTCGAGTGGATTTCCCACTTGGGAGAGGTGAAGATAACTGGCCTGTAGGGAATAGTCTCCAGACAAACTTGTTCCTTGTTTCGTCGTTAGGGTTGCACGGCTCAATGAGATTCCTGAGCCAGAATCAGTCGACTGGTGCTGAGGAGACGTACGTACTGACCCAGTCGTTTCTTATGTTGAGCCAGAAATAAGTCGCCTGCTGTTGCTTCAGTGAGAAATGCGCAGTTTGCATCACGCGTGGTCATTGATGACTTGTTGTCAAGCAGCATTTTTTTATCCTTGGGGGGAACTAAGGTGTCTCAGGAAAGCGATCCTAACGGACTGGTAGCCAGATTTTTTGCCGACATCGCTCGGTGTTGCTACTAACCATTTTGTTCTGCCAGATCAAGCAATCGCTCCCCCTTAACCTTGCCCATGGACTCACATTGTCGCTGCGGTTGCCAAAGATGGCGCTTCTCATTTAGGTTAAACGGTTCGACAGAAGCTATGTTGGTCTTACCCTAAATGTATCCGACTGTGGATACCACCCACCTTATTCCATTCACTTTCGTTGCAATCCAAAAGCACCGTCTCGCATACAACTCCGAACAGACGATTGTTAGCGGATAGCTTGTCTCGCCTACCTA